AAGTGTCTTCACCACTAGGCCACTACGCCATTCAAATACTGTATCAGACAAACAATCAAGCAAAAAACAATACCGCAATCATTTCTGATTAGATCAAACACTTGCTTAGTCCAACATCCTGTTTTCTATAATAGGCAATCAAATGTCTTTGGGACATCTACATTTAACTATCTACAGTCCTTTGTCAGTAGACCATGACATTTGAATAAGACTAGAAGTATATTTATCTGACAAGATCCAGGAAATATAGAACTAAGCTGGTCACATCTCTGCTAGTTAATGTGAGAATTTTTATATCAAAATATATTTTGTTCTTTATATTGTTTCCATCTTCCCTTAAAACAGAGGTCTTCAACCCCCAGTCCATGGACCAGTACCGGGCTGCGGCATGCCAGCAACCAGTCTGCACAAACAAGCAAAGCCCCATCCGTGGGATGCAGGCAGCACACAAAACCATGCACCCTCTGGTCCGTGGAAAAACCTCTCTCCATGGAATGGTCCCTGGTGCCCAAAAGGTTGGAGACCTCTGCCTTAAAACATTAACAGAATCACAATAGTCTGAGAATCAGAGTCTCCACTAGATAATTGACAGTCAAACTGAAACTAAATTAATCAAGGAAAAATAGCAAACAGGGGAAATCCTTTACCCAAACTTCCTCAAACTTCCAAATAACTTACCCAGACTTAATCCATATAAGATCTGCCAACAAAATAGAGTTAATTAAATTAGGTCTCCCAGTGGAACTGTATGTTCACAAGAATACATACCTACACACACACACACACACACACAAACACACACCTCAAATGTCACCCTAGAACAGTGATGGCGAACCTTTTAGAGACCGAGTGCCCAAACTGCAACCCAAAACCCACCTACGTATCGTCGTGTGCCGGGAAGGTGTGGCGCATTGGGTGGGTGTGGCTGCAGTGGTAACGGCAGACTGGGTGGAACTAAAAAGTTCAATGAATCAATTCCGACTTTGCGAGATCTTTTTTTTTCCAGCAAGAAGTTGAAATTGATTGATTGATTGAACCTTTTTTTCTTGCACACGGCGACGGAGGCCTAAAGCGAAAAGGTTTTATAAAACCCAGCTGAAGGCCTAGAACTGGGGCGACGGCGCGCGTGCCCACAGAGAGGGCTCTGCGTGCCACCTGTGGCACGCGTACCATAGGTTCGCCACCACGGCCCTAGAATAAGCATGTAAACACTTCCACACTCTAGATAAGCTCCCGTTATATAAATCTGCCGCTGTACTCCATTTTTCTGCAGCTGCCCCTAAAAGCAAATTCTTTGCTTTTAGGAATAAATATTTATCCTTTCTTCACAGCTGTCTGGATCTCATTTTTATTTTTCCACAATCCCAGCTCAAGTTGGAACTTCAAATTATTCTTCTGACATTAACTAATAAGCTAGAACTAATAGAATATTACTGAGATTTTTTTTTAAGAAAAGGATTCTTTGTTAGCTACAATAATTTTAATAATGCACAGCTTATGTTGCTAGTCACCCTCCTGTGTTAATTAGGGTTACATAGGGTGATCATTCAGCTTGTCATATATTTAAGTTGTTCAACTTGTGATGATAACCCAAACAGAAAGAGAAAAGGAAATACCTCGTGTATTTAATTGAAATGCGGAAAGAAAGAAAGCACTAAAGAAAAGAACACCTAATTCCCAGAAGTTTCATTCTACCTGTCATAAATATAGAAATGGCCTTCAACTTTTACATAGGCTCTTTGTTTTACTTAGAAGTTAGATGGAGATTTTTAAACTGGGTGTTGTTACAATAAACAACTTGATGAGCATGCCAAATCCACAAAGGTCACTCTCAGTGAACATTTCTCTATTTTTGCATTTTAAAATCATGTATCTCAGATTAGTGACTTACACACATTTGTTCTTTTACAAAACTTACTGTGTGTGCAAGAAGCCAAAATTTGCTATTCATTATGGTTGCAACTTTCTTTAAAATAAGTTGACACTACAGTTATTGGAATGTAGCACATCATGGTCTATATATTTATATGCTAAAGAGTTACAGCAAAAGAGAGAAATGAAGAGGATCTAGATCTTAGGTCTCAAATCCAAAACATATGGGAATGTATATCAGATCAGTGTTTTGTTTATTTTGATCTAAGGAAAACATGAGAACATATTGCAAATGAAGTTCAGAATAGTAGGATGGCAGTATAATTTTCAAAAATAGGTGTATCTGTTCCTAGTGAACAGCACTCCTCCATGCATATTGTGACTGAATTAATCAATTTTAAGGCCAAACATGGCCCTTTAGGTGCCACTGAATGACAATTCCCAGAAGGTCCTGGGAAGCTCATTGAAAGGGCTGCTGGGAGTTGTAGTTCATCAACTTATAGAAAACCATGCTTAGTATTGCTGACCTTCATTTTAAGTTGTGCAGTTAAGAATCAGAACTGTTTCCAATCAAATCTAATATAGAAGAGAAAGGTGAATTTCATCAAATCCACAGTTCACACAGAAGGTAGGTTTGACTTTGTCTCTCCAATTGAGGAAATCCTTCTTCACATAAAAATTAGTCGAGAGAGTTTTAAAATAAATTGCTGCTATAGAGTTTCTAAGAACAGTAGGCTGAAAGTCCTTCACTTCCCACTTTCCAGAAGTAATTCAATTTGCTCTATGTGTGCCACTAACTTTTCAGAAAAGGAACTCATTGGATAGATAACACCTTGTTTAATTTGGCCATGTGATTTTAGGAAGTACAAGATAAATTCTACGTGGAATTTCATATCTTGCTCTTCTCTGATCTTTTTATCAGAAAGTCATTCCATACATAACAGTAGTGCATATGGAAGTGTAGTAAATGGAACTCCACCATCCCAAGATTGTCATTTGTGTGTATTCTAAGCAGGATGTCAGTCTTTCACTGAGGTTTATTTTGATTTGATTGATTATGTACCATCAAGTCAGTGTTAGCTTTTAGCAAATGCCTAAATGCAGGTAGTCCTTGAATTACAACCACAGTTGACCCCAACATTTCCTTTGCCAAGTTAAACATTTGTTAAGTAAATTTGCCTCATTTTATGACCTTTCTTGCCACAATTGTTAAGTGAATCACTACAGTTGTTAAGTACAGTTGGTAACACATCTGTTAAGCGAATCTGACTTTCTCATTGACTTTGCTTATCAAAAGGCAGCAAAAGGTGATTACATGGCCTTCGGACACTGCAACCATCATAAATATGAGTCAGTTGCGAAGCCTCTGAATTTTGATCATGGGATCATGGTCTTAAGTGTGAAAAATGGTCATAAGTCACTTTTTTCAATGCCGTTGTAAGCGAACTGTTGTATGTTGAGGGCTACCTGTAAGCATTCTTCAGAATGCCTACAGCTTAAAAAATTGTGAATCCTGTCAAATGTTTCAAGAGCTTTTGCAAAAATATTACCTAAAATGTTATTTGTTTTCCACACAAGCCCTTGGTTATACAATTAAACAAAAGAGTCAAAAACATTTTAATTTATTTATTTACTGAGCAAAATGATCCAATGCTACATATTTATAATTAAGCATATTATGGTTTAGAACGGGGACAAGTAATATACACTGTAGATTACACACAAACACTGAACCCTTTTGCAGCTGAGTGACTAGCACCAAAATTTGTTTCTCCTATTACTTTGAGATTAGAAACATATGAAAACTATAGTATATACAATCCTAAAGAATATGACAATTGCGTCTGGCTTTATCCTTAGAGAAAACAAACCACAAACCACAAAAAGGAAAACCACAAACCACACATTTTTTTTTCCTTTCTGAAGAAAATATTTAAACAATCACACTTGCAGGGACCTTGTGATTGACACAAATACAAGGATAGGTCATAAAAACCAGTCATTCAGTGCCATCATATGTTCAAACAGTCAATGAATGTATATATACTGCTCAAAAAAATAAAGGGAACATTTTAACATGGAACTGAAGGAGTTTGCGTTCCCTTTATTTTTTTGAGCAGTATACTTGGATAGCTTGGATGTACATAAACTTTGTCATTAACTTTAAAAGTGAACATTTCCTGGAGCAATTGCATTAGATGTTATTGTATGTGATTAACAAGCTTTTCCATAATATTGAAAACTTAGCCTCCTCCTCACTTCTCCTAAGTAGTAGTGAAATTGTGAAATGAAAATATTATTAACTTCCTTGATACAGACTTAGGAGATGGAGATGAAAGATCAAATTGCATACTAAAATTTTTCCTGTTTGGATTGGAACATTTATAAATTCTCAAGTTTCCTGTTTCTTTAGATTAGCCAAATACATCTTGAAATATGGGCACCCAGAAACTTTTCCCCTGGATGCTGCTAATACATGCTGCACTTCTACAAAAATCAGGTATTGTGTATATATTATTATATGTTATGTTATATGTTATATATTATACACTTTCTTGGATCTGAGAAGGAGATAGGTGAATGCTAAATGTCAGTAAACTGAGAAATTGTGGACTGCTTTGCTTACGGTGTTCAGAAAACACTCAGCAATACTGTAAAACATGAACCAGCTATGCTTGGATTAATGTTACCTCTTGATTCTATTAATTTGGATGCACAGAAGCAAAAGAATCAATGTACAAATCTACAAAAAGTACAAGCCCAGTGTGTACATATTTTAATACTTTTGTGTTAATCCAAAGATGGTTTTCATGAAAATAATGAAATAGCTGGACAACTTGTCTTTGGATGGTGCTAGCAATCATTCATTAAGAAGTGCCCACAAAACTGTTCTCAGAGAATCCTTTTCAGTGATTTATATGAATGAAATAAATCCACTGAGGAATTAAGGCATAATAAAACTACTGTGAATCCATCATCTACCATGTTGACCTAAGCTTATTATTTTGCAGAATATATTACAGCATTGCGGAGGTTTTTTTTTTAAAAAAAATTCAGAACAGCACTGAGCTGATCTAATTTTATTTTACCACAACCACTCACAATAATATCATTTGTGTTTTTGAAAGGGGCACAGGATCTACGCTTAGTAAATGGAAGCAACAGATGTGCCGGAAGACTAGAGGTTTATTATAAAGGAATTTGGGGAACTGTTTGCGATGACTACTTTAATCCAACCAATGCACAAATAGTGTGTAAACAACTTGCATGTGGAAATGCAACTAAGGTGTTAGGGTGGGCGTACTTTGGCCAAGGATCAGGGGCCATCAGTCTGGATGATGTAAGATGCACAGGAAGTGAACCCACTATCTGGGATTGTGCTCACGCCGGGTGGTTCAATCATGACTGTAAACACAATGAGGATGTCGGTGTTATTTGCTCAGGTAACATCTCTCTGTATATTTATATATGATGTAGATCTTTAGAAATGAAGCCAAGTCAGATATCTCAACTAAAAAGTTGTACAAACTGATTTCATTTGGTCAAGTAATCTGAATCAGATAGTACCAATTCAAAAGTTGAAGAAACAGGACTACAATATATATAGGGTTTATCTGAAATGCAGTACTAATGGAATTAGTGAATCTTATTCTTATCATTATTAGTAGAACAATGTTCTCTAAGAAAAGATAAAGGCTTCTTCAGATTAAATTCAGCTCCTTGTATAACTAAATTAACATATTGGTCTGATGAAGGAATTTACTATTGCCTTTTTTGGAGCATATATTTTAAAATGTCCCAGTCTAACCTAAAACCCTGGAATTTCCTGTGGCCTTGCGTACAAATATTAAATAAGTCACGCCCTGTTTAATTTTTTGAGATCAAACATGTGAGCTAAATGCTGGTCTCTATTTGATCAATGCTTGTTAAATAACATATATGCAACTCTTTCCTAAACAGAGAGTTTATAAATGGTAAGTGTACAAACATTAGCCATCTAATCAAGATGAAACAATCCATGTCATCTCAAAGTGGGCTATTACAGTCTTTCTAATTGACTATTAATGACAACTTATTTGTTATTAACAAATGGAATGCAGTGGCTTAAACAACAGATCAAAGAACTTATTATGATGCCATCTCTCTGTATTGATTAGTATTTTTATAGTCCTCTTAATCTGAGTATAAATTATGAAGCTAATTGCAGTTTCGGTTAATCCCATGGATCATAACCAAAATAAGCGTCAGTGGGAGATGAACATACAAGTATTTCTTATAACTGAATGTCCAGATTTTCATAAAAATCATATGTGACATATTGTACCTTATGCAGCAATAAAATTAAAGAATCAACATTTTTTGCCTCTTTGTTAAAAGATGCTGAATTACTACGAACAAGCAAGGCTCTTTAATTACTCCTGGTTAAAAAGGAGAGGGGGGTTGATCTTTCTTAAATCCATAATCACTATGGGGAACCACAGTCATGATACTGCTCATTAATTCTATCCTTTACAAATTGACAAAGTAGCTTTCCTGAAAGGTCTTTTTTTCTGACGACAGGCGATACAGAAATGCCAACCCCAACTCCAATTTTTACATCTGAAGGTAAGCATCTCAAAACATTATTCATTTATTAGATTTTCATCCCACCTTTATTATTTTATAAATAACTCATGTTGACAAACATACCTAATACTCCTTTCTTTTCCTATTTTCCCCACAAAACCAATGTTGTGAGGTGAGGTGAGCTGAGGAAGGATGACCATCCCAAAGCCACCTTGCTATCTTTCATTCCTAAAATGAGAGTAGAACTCAGAGTTTCCTGGTTTCTAGGGCAGCACCTTATCCACTATTGCAAAAGGAATAAAAAGATATCAAACATGGGTGGGACCAGGTGAGGAAAGGAAGAGTAGATTTGTCAGTGACTTTTACCAGGCGTTTGCTCAATTGATATCAGTGTTGCTTTTGGCATAAATAATGTTTGTTCTTAACTTTTAAGAAGAATAATAGTTTTGTTCCCAATATACCACTGTTAAACTTGTTAACTGCTATTCAGGAACTATCTAACAAGATAGTAAGAGTTCATTTGGAAACAGTATGAGACGTTTGCATCCAAATTTTAATTTTGTCCAGAGATGTTGTATTGCTTCAGATTATTATGTGGGCTTGGTGAGGGTTTGGCAAGGAAAACAATCTTTGGCTCCAGGGTCACATGCGGTTTCCCAAAGACTTGGCTGTGAGTTTGGGCCACCTCTCTGCAATTCTTAATGTGACATAAGGAGAACATTATTCAATACTTGCAAAATGCTTGCATTAATTTAATTTAAATTAATTTAAATCAATAAATAATGTGAAATCATATTTAGTATTCATCTTGGGCTTTCATCTGAAGCATTTCTGTATCCTAATTTATTTCTTGCACTGCACTGCGGTTCTAGCACCCCGGTCAAAAGTTCTTGATCTGAAAGAAGCTTTGTGCCTTGCTCTAAATCTATTTATTTACTAATTTTAAAACGTCTCGGTCATACACTTGATAAATGGAGGACAAAGTTGCAAAGGTGATGCTGACATTTGCTAAAATGAGGTACCATTTTTTTATTTGTTGGGAAAAGACAGATGCAAATGTAGGATGCCAAAAGATTAATTGTGGCATTGCCATGCCTGTACTTGGAAAGGTTTATTTTTGTGATGTCTCAGAAATACGGGTGATCCTTGACTTACGACCACAATTGAGCCCAAAATTTCTGTTGCTAAGTGAGACATCTTTTAAGTGAGTTTTACCCCTTTTTACGATCTTTCTTGCCATAGTTGCTAAGTGAATCATTGCAGTTGTTCAGTTAGTAACATGGTTCTTAAGTAAAACTGCCTTCCCCATTGACTTTGCTTCTCAGAAGGTCGCAAAAGGTGATCAAATGAACCCAGGACACTGCGATTGTCATAAATATGTGTCAGTTGCCAAGTGTCTGAATTTTGATCATGTGACCAAGGGGATGCTGCAACAGTCGTAAGTGTGAAAAAAAGATCGTAGGACACTTTTTTCAGTGTCATTGTAACTTTGATCAGTTGCTAAATGAACGGTTGTAAATTGAGGATTACCTGTAGTACTTCTGGAATATGTTGAACATAAAGACCAGCCTAGGGCAAATGCTATTATTCAGAATGGTTTGAATGTAACTGAATATGGTGCAGATTGAAGTGCAATTCTGTACACTTTCCTATAATGAACTGCCTTGATTGTGTAACATATTGTACACAATCGGGGCACTTCCACACTGTCATTGTTTTTACACATCTCCATTTTGTCTGGGTAATTGAAGGGGAGCTACAAAACCTAGAATTCTCATTACAGAGCCTGAATCATGAACTCTGTCGCTGACGGGGTACAGAGATACAGCATCTAAAAATAAGTATACAAACAAACCCCTAACTTGCATCAATTTCAGTTACATTCAAAGTGACTTGGAGATCAATAGGCTTAGCTTTCTCACCCCATTGACATCCTCGGGACAGAGATCTGGAACTTCAAGTAGTGCTTGTTTTAGTGACCACAACCTGGTCACTAAGTAACATGGTCATCAAGTGACCACAACTGCTTTCTTTCCCCCCCCCCCCCACTTTCCTGCCCTTGGGAATCCTCACCCACAAGACTAGGAAAATTAAGCAAGAAGAGAATTAATGCTTGCATTTATGTTCAATGGAGAGGAAAGGATTACAAGAGAGTAAGCAGGTACACAGAATGCACATCAGAAGAAAAATGTTAGTACCAGCTATTTGCCTACCAAGTTAACTCTAAAATTTATTGGTTTTGTCAGACCTTACTACACCTTTCGTAGAACTGACTACGCAGGAAATAAGAGTATTTATTATATGCTGAAGTGGATTTGCCTTTTTGTGTATGTTCTGTAACAAGATCATCTACAAATGATTACAATTAATTTTGAGACATTTGTAAAGCCTGATTTTTTACACTTGGACAAATACTATTTTTTTAAAGGGAACAATCTTGTCCTGTCTGATAAAACATTGCATCTAAATAAAACATACACTGTCTGTTGGGCAAAATTCAGCTGTATTCTTTATTCAGCATAATAAAACATAACAAAACTGACCTGTTATGTCATTGCATAAACACACAGAGACAAGAGTTTGAAAAAAACTCTTATGTAAATATTTGCTGAATAGCATCAGTGTTGTGGTTTTTACATTAAATCGTGTTCCCTTGAATCTAAAGAAGATATTCTAAAAGGATTGAAAAAATAAAAAACACAGTTAAAAAGCGAAATGTGTCAACAGACAGAATTCTGTTAAAACTGATGTCATTATCAATTGCACTAATATTATGATATATATTCATGGAAAAGCTTAGAAGTTTATCTGCCAAAAGAGACCCAATAGGTGAGTATCAACCTATCTTTAAATTTTCAACCAAATATGAAAAACACACCTCCCACAGATTAGCCTGGTTGATTTTTCAAGGTTAAAAATTTAAGGGTTAGCTATTCCACTGATGGGCTTATCCACAAATATATACAGTGTTCATTTCTCAAGGCTAGTAATAAAATAAATCCTTGCCTTATGCTCTGTTATATTACTATTGCTACCTTTATTGAAACCATAAGTAGAAATATATTAATTACTAATTTATGAAAGCAACCTAGAACTATTCTCCAAAGCACCGGAAGGCAGGACAAGAAGCAACGGATGGAAATTAATCAAGGAGAGAAGCAACCTAGAACTAAGGAGAAACTTCCTGACAGTTAGAACAATTAACCAGTGGAACAACCTGCCTCCAGAAGTGGTGAATGCTCCAACACTGGAAGTTTTTAAGAAGAGACTGGACAGCCATTTGTCCTAAATGGTATAGGGTTTCCTGCCTGTGCAGGGGGTTGGACTAGATGACCTCCAAGGTCCCTTCCAACTTTATTATTATTATTAACTGAATTTATTTAGTAAAATAAAACAAATCCTTATTGAGATCACAGGTGGATATCTAATATTGGGATTTTTTTGCTTCTGAAAAGAAAGCAGCATAAATAATGATTTGAATTTCTAAAAAAGAAAAAAAAAGGAAATTTATAGTATTCTTTTGGATATCCAGATTGCTTCACACATATAATATCGCATTTTCCATGAAGTTAAACTTGGGTTATTTTCAGGATTTCAAAAATGGTTCTAATGGCTTTTACTTTATTTTTATTTATAATTATTATTATTTTATTTTTGTAGACCCCCTCAGAGTCACAGGTGAGATGGGTAGCAGTAGAAACTGAATAAATAAATATTTGCTCAAGTTCTCAGTGCTTTTAATTTTAAATCATATAAGAGTGCGATGGCAGGCTAGAATCAAAAAACTCACTCATGATTCTTCTGAAGCTTATTCTTATGTAACTCAAAATTATTTTGATTCCTATTTCTTCGTAGATACCACATATTTCCTAACTGAAAAAACCACCCATCCAGCAACTGAGAAAGAAATAACACTTACTATGAGAACATTAGAAATGTCAAATGGAACCACAACTTCATCTAAGGCTACCCATTCAATAACCCAGAAGGAAGAAACAGTGACGCCAGGCTTGGCAGCCACTTCTCAAGGCACTGTAGAAGACTTGAAGACATCTGCTCCCACCTCCATAACTGGTACTACAATTTTATTGTAGTATTGCTCTGAATAGTGAGAGGGCATATAAATTTCATAAATAAAAAAGAAAATATTTGTTGACTGTGGGTTACATAAAGAAGTGATAATGCCCTGAATGATTGGGAGCCAAATTGACTAGGGGAAAAGCAGTATGATGAAGTGGTTTGGTCAAAGAATGAACAAGGATTGAATTTGAAAACAAACATACAGTATGTAGGAAGAGCACAAGGACTGAGAGGAAGAAGAAGACAAAGAGGATGGCTGGGTTTTTTCCAAGATTATTTTTTATTTCTATATATCTGTGATAGCAAAGAAGTTCTGGCCAGGTTTCTTAAACATATAGCTATAAAATTTTATTGTTTTTGTTAGACTTTACTACACCCTCCGTAGATCTGATTATACAGGAAATAAGAGGCATTTAGAATATATTGAAGTAGACTTGCATTTTTATAACAGTAATGAGTATCATAATAACAAACATACTTCCAGCTGACTGCCAGGGTTGCTTCCCACACAAGGAGTGCAAAACAGAACATCAGAGGTGTTTCCTCTCTTTTTAGAGATAAAGAAATAAAGGATTCTAGAAATTAGATATTTGAGGTGAAAGTCCAATACACATTTGTTTTCCTTTGCAATACCCTTTTTTATTTTACTTTATTGTATCAAACTAAAGAAGAGTAAAAAATATAAAAGAAATAATGATAGCAATAATGGCAATATAATATAACCTCCTAATTCATCAACATCAGTATTTATTTATTTATTATTATTTTAATTTCTATACCGCCCTTCTCCCGCAGGACTCAGGGCGGTGCACAGCATATTAAAACAGATACACATATCAATAAAAATAAAAACCCCTCTAAAACCAAATTAAAACCAAATATTCGAAGCTGTGTTCCAATTAAAATTATACTTAAAATCGTCCCTAAATAAAATCCTCCTTAGGTCAGGCNTCACCGTCTAATTAGGAGGTCTTGAATGGGATCGCAAAGGATCCTAATTGCTATTATGTGCAAACCTTTTAGACAGTCTTAATTGATAATGGGTCTCAGTAGAAAAAAGTGCATTTATTTTTCAACTTATAATGATTTGAAGATTTCTTGTTATGCAGGTTTCAGTAAGTTATTACATTATCTTTAAGGAAATTTGATTGAAGTACTTAATATATACCTAACAACATCAGCACTTAACAATGTTAATTGAGTTGGCAGAGTCAATTCCAGTCAGTAACTAAGGACTTACTTGTAAGCATCAGTTCCAATACTTCAAGCCAGGCTTCCAATGCTCATTTTTATTTTACTTCTTATGTCAAACTAAAGAAGAGTAAAAAATATGAAAAATAATGGTAATATAATAATAATGGCGATATAATGTAACCTCCTAATTCATCAGCATCAGTAGGTTGTCTTCTTCTGCCAAATCAAAATTGTTTCTTCTATTTTCAGGTCCTGCTGTCACCACCCCACCCCCTGGTAGGCACTCACTTTAATTTCTATTGTTACTTAAAACCAAATCTTGCATCATAATTTAAAGGGAAATAGAGCCAGCAAAGACTTTAACACCAAAGAGAGAAATAAGATTGAACCACTTTCTCATCTTTCTTTTCACTGAAAGAACAATCTGTGAAATAAAATTAGTCTTTATGCTAGGCATGTGCTGTGAAGACTCAAAATTTGCTTTTCAACAAGTCATTGAATGATGTATGGATATAAGAAAGAATGAGTATCATATTTTGTTTGATTCAAATAAGGTGTAAAATAAAGTGAAGTCATTTAATTATGGAACTTTTTGGTCTTGGTAGCAAGATGACTGATTGATTGATTTAGTGACTATCAGGTACTTAAAAATTGTTTTTGGTTAACCAATAGGGATTGGATCCTGAATGATTGGAAGTTGAATTTCCAGCATTATTTTTATCTCTATATACCTATGATAGCAAAGAGGTTCTGGCAACATATAACTATAAAATTTATTGTTTTTGTTAGAACTTTCTACACCCTCTGCAGATGTGACTACGCAGCAAATAAGAGGTATTTATTATATGGTGAAGTGGATTTTCATTCTTATAACAATAAACATTGTAACAATAAACCTACAGCACTTCCAGCTGATTGCAAGGGGTACTTTCCACTCAAGGGGTGCAAAACAGAACTGCAGAGATAATTCCTCTCTATTTAGTAATAAAAAATTCTAAAAACCAGATATTTGAGGTGAAAGTCCAATACACATTTGTTTTCCTTTCAAGAAAAATCTCTGAGACTGGTGAATGGAGAAGACAAATGTCGTGGTCGCATTGAGGTCTACTACAATGGAAGCTGGGGAACAATTTGTGATGATGGCTGGGACGTGAATGATGCACACGTTGTGTGTAGGCAGCTTGCCTGTGGAAAAGCCATTGAAGCCCTACCTAATGCTGCATTTGGGGAAGGAACTGGCAGCATCTTCCTGGATCAGGTCCAGTGCAAAGGGAACGAATCCTCTCTTGAAGAGTGCTCTCATAAACCTTGGGGCGTTCATAACTGTCATCACAAGGAAGATGCTGGGGTCATTTGCTCAGGTAATCTGAACTGCTCAGTTTTCAAGTGTTGTGTTGTTTTACTTGGTTTACATTATCCAAACATACTAAGAGATGAATTTAAAATCAGATGTGAATGCAATGTGACTTTTCCCAGGTATAACGATATATTAGAAAGCCAAAGTAGTTTGTTATTCAACTAGATGTTCATAAATGGGATTGTAAAGGATCCAAATTGCTGTAACGCACAAGGCTTTCAAACAATCTTCATTCAGGAGAAAAAAGAATGCATTTATTATTGAACATACAAAGATCTAAGGACTGGGTCTTGTTATGCAGATTTCTATAAGTTATTACATTATCTTTAAGTACATTTGTTTCAGGTGCTTAACAAGTTTAACAACCACAGCACTTAATGATGGAGTTGGCAGACTCAACCGCAGTCAGTAAAAGAGGACTTAACTGTAGTCTCAATATTAAAAGGCAATAGGCTTCATTACCAACACTTTAAGCTAGGTTTGCAATACCCTTTTTTATTTTACTTTATTGTATCAAACTAAAGAAGAGTAAAAAATATAAAAGAAATAATGATAGCAATAATGGCAATATAATATAACCTCCTAATTCATCAACATGAGTATGTTGTCTTCTTCACCCAGACCAAAGTTGTTCTTCTATTTTCAGGTCCTGCTGTCAGCACAGCACCCCCTGGTAGGTATTTGCTTAAATTTCTATTGTTACTTAAAACCAAATCGTGCATCCTAATTTACGGGGGAAATGGTAAGTAAATAGCTAAATTGGTGACTAACGTGTTTGTGGTTAATCAGTAGTAATTTGCTCCTGATTGATTGGAAGCAAAATTAATTAGGTTGTCACCGTCTAATTAGGAGGTCTTGAATGGGATCGCAAAGGATCCTAATTGCTATTATGTGCAAACCTTTTAGACAGTCTTAATTGATAATGGGTCTCAGTAGAAAAAAGTGCATTTATTTTTCAA